CCTGCTGTGCAGTGAAAAAAGCCTGGGCCTTGGGGTCAGAAAAACCCGAATGGAAGCTCTTGGCTCTGCCCAAGACTAGCTGGGTAACCCTAAGCAATTATTTAACCTCATGAGATCTCAGTTTGCTTACTCATAAAACGGGGAAGTAATGAGTCATACCTTCCATACAGCACTTAGAAAGGACAGCCAGGGCCCTCCACCTGGGTCCTGTGTTTTTAGATCCACACTTCTCAATAATTAATGTGCACACAAAGCCCTGGGGATTGTGTTAAGCTATAGATTCTGGCTCAGTAGATCTTAGCCAGGGCCTGAGATTCTGCATTTATAAGAAGCTCCCTGGTGATGCCCATGCTGCTGGTCCAGGGACCACACTTTGGCAAGGCCTTTCAGGATTTTATGAGTTTTTTTTTTTTTTTTTTTTTTTAGTCGGAGTCTCGCTCTGTCGTCCAGGGTAGAGTGCAGTGGTGCGATCTCTACTCACTGCAACCTCCGCCCCCCAGGTTCAAGCAATTCTTGTGCCTCAGCCTCCCGAGTAGCTGGGATTACAGGCACCTGCCAACACGCCCCACTAATTTTTCTGTTTTTAGTAGAGATGGGGTTTCACCATATTGGCCAGGCTGGTCTCGAACTCCTGGCCTCAAGTGATCCATCCACCTCTGCCTCCCAAATGCTGGGATTACAGTTGTGAGCCATGGTGCCCAGCCATTTTATGAGGACTAAATAAGCAGATGTACATAAACATGGTTAGAAGAGTGCCTCACACATGATGAGTGCTCAACTGATGTCATTCCTCTCTGCCTTCCTCCTTGAAAGTTTTAGAAAAAGACTCAGTGGAGGAGAGAGTTCACGTGAAATTATTAGGACCACAGTGATCAGGTTGCAGAATGGTGAAGCTGGAGGTGACTCTAGGGTGTCTAGAAGGGAACTCTTAAATTCCACCTTGCCCAGGCATCACCTAAAAATATACTGACCTAGAACATCTTGGAATGGGCCCCTGGAATTGTTAGTTTTAAAAAAAGTTCCAGTAGCTTTTGATGCCTTTTTTTTTTTTTTTTAATTACTGATCTGGTCCAAACCCTCATTTTATTTTTTCTCAAACACGTTTTTTAAAACTTTTATTCTGCTTTCAAGGGTACATGTGCATGGTGGTCCTCTAGGTAAATGTGTTGTAGGAGTTTGGTATACGTATTATGTCATCATCCAGGTAATAAGCACAGTACCCAGTGGGTAGTTTTTCGATCCCCTCCCTCCTCCTGCCTCCCACCCTGAAGCAGACCATGGTGCCTGTTGTTCCCTTCTTTGTGTCCATGTGTACTCAATGCCAAACCCTCATTTTAAAGATGAGCCCCAGAGAGGTGAAGTGACAGCCCTAAGCCATGTAGAAGGTTCAATCAATGATTCGTTCATCATTCACTATATATTTTCTGAACACCTTCTGTGTTCAAGGCACCATGCTGGGTTCTAGGGGGACTCGGTGGTGAAAAGCCTGACCCCAGTACCTGTTCTTACAGAACTCATAGCCTAGTGGGGGCCCAGATATCAGACATGGATCAGGTAGACAGTGTGGACAATCATGCGTAGTCATAAATGCTTTCCATCCTGTATAAAGTAGAGGCTGCAGCGGCAGAGGTCGCAGGGGACCTGACTTAGATTGGGGAATCAGAGAAGGCTCCTCTTAGGAAGTGACCTTTCAGATGAGACCTGAAGGATTAGCAGAAAAGAGCCAGGTGGAGAGTGGGCAAAGCCAGGGAAAGAGCGTGGCACAGTTGAGGCACCGAGGGGGTGCCAGTTTGACTGACGGAGGCAAGGGGAGTGCCCTGGTGGGGCTGCAGGGGCACCATGCAGGCTTTTTCTCACTGGTGTCCCCCGGTTCTGTCCACAGCAAACGGGCCCCATCAGTGCCACCCTGGTGATGACACGCCCCATCAAAGGGCCCCGGGAAATCCAGCTGGACTTGGAAATGATCACTGTCAACACTGTCATTAACTTCAGAGGCAGCTCCGTGATCCGACTGCGGATATATGTGTCGCAGTACCCATTCTGAGCCTCGGGCTGGAGCCTCCGACGCTGGCTCTCATCGGCACCAAGGGACAGGAGAAGAGGAAATAACAGAGAGAATGAGAGCGACACAGACGTTATGCGTTTCCTGCTGAACATTTCCCTGAAGAGTCAGCCCCGACATCCTGACTCTCACCTGTACTATTGCAGACCTGTCACCCTGAAGGACATGCCACCCCCAGTTCCTATGATGCAGTTATCAAAAAGTATTATCATTGCTCCCCTGATGTAAGATTGTTGGTGAATTTTCAAGGCCTTCAGTTTATTTCCATGTTTCTCAAAGAAAATAGATTAGGTTTGCGGGGGTCTGAGTCTGTGTTCAAAGACTGTGAACAGCTTGCTGTCACCTCTTCACCTCTTTCACTCCTTCTCTCACTGTGTTACTGCTTTGCAAAGACCCGGGAGCTGGTGGGGAATGCTGGGAGTAGCTAGTTTGCTTTTTGCCTACACTGAGAAGGCTATGTAAACAAACCACAGCAGGATCGAAGGGTTTGAGAATGTATTTCAAAACCATGTCTGGTATTTTCAGCCATAAAAGAAGTTTGAGTTGTCCGTAAATTTGTATAACGGTTTAATCCTGTCTTGTTCATTTTGAGTATTTTTTAAAAATATGTTGTAGAATTCCTTCAAAAGGCCTTCAGACACATGCTATGTTCTGTCTTCCCAAACTCAGTCTCCTCTCCATTTTAGCCCAATGTTTTCTTTGAGGACCCCTTAATCTTGCTTTCTTTAGAATTTTTACCCAATTGGATTGGAAGGCAGAGGTCTCCAAACTGATTAAATATTTGAAGAGAGCTTGTGTTTGGTTCATTTTGACATCATAGATGATTCAGCATTTGGGGTTCTAGTTCTGTTTAAACCTGTTTATCATGTGCTTAGAAAGCTCTCCAGGGAGCTAGGGCATTATCTGTCACTCTGGCAAGTTGATGGAGGGGGGCGGTGGGGCAGAAAAATGGGGGTGGTGGGGAAGTTAGGGGGAGGCATCATCCCTGAGTCCTGTTTCATCTGATTAGAAAACAACCAACAATTCTTCTCTTATGCAGATTATTTCCAATGCTCCTGCAGAACAGGAATGTATTCAAGTTACTTTGAACCAGTGACCCTCAATCCTGGCTGCATAGAAGGATAACCAGTAGAACTTTGGAGAAAAGACTGATTCCCTGGGACATGCCCCCAGACACTCTGATGTCATTGGGCTTAGGTAGGGCCCGGCCATCACGATTTTTGAAAACTTGACTACATAGCCAGAGTCGAGAATGTATTGTTATAAATCGTAGAAAGAGAGGTGGACAGATGGGGCTGGAGACTTAGCTGCCTTACCTTCAATGTCTTTTCTGCTCATTGTAGGATTCATTATTCTTTTCCTGGTCAGGGCCTCTGGATATCCTTCAAATCTTAGAACCCTGGGCAGGGGCCAACCGACAGTCAACATTGCAAGTCACAGGAGGACAGGTTGGGATGGCTGTCTTTATGTCCCACCCCAGGAATCATCCCAAGGCTTCAGGAAAAAAGTGCACTCCCTGATAGCCAAGGTGGAGTCTACGGATCCATCTGAGGGTGCTCCCGTCCTACCTGTTGGTGAGATATTCGTTAAGGACCCACACGGTGCCTACCAGGAGTTGTGCCCTGGACCCCTAGTCTTAGTAGGCATTCCACAGATCCTTATGATATGGACAGGAGATAGAGAAATACTGGGTAGAAGAGGGTGGTTCCCTGGCAAAGGCTCTACCCTCAAGCCTGAATACCTGGGCCCTAAATGAGGACAGGTATTCCTGTTTTCATCCCTAAAAAGTTGCCTTTTGGCCTGCCACATCCCCTATCCTGTACCCATATAAATCCTGAACCCCAGGCTCCAGGCTCCAGAAGCAGATGGGGAGACAAGAAGATGAGCAGACATGAATGGCAGAACAGCACGGCAGAGAAGAGAAGAGAAGGAACATTGGGAGGAATTCGGCTGGAGATGATCTGAAAATTGGCTGCTGAATGGCCAAACTCCAGGGGAAGATCATCTTCCCACTCTATCCCCTGTCCAGCTCCCCATCCATCCTACTTAGAGCCACCTCCACCACTCAATAAAACGCCTGCATTCATCCTGCAAATCCATGTGTGACCTGATTCTTCCAGGATGCTGGACAAGAGCTCGGGATATAGGAAGCTGTCATACTGGCCCTCTGCTCTTGCAAAAAGGGAGAGGGTCCACTAAGCTGGTTAATGCTTAAGCTGCCACAGATGGCAAGGCTGAAAGAATGCACTGTAACATGTGCCTACTTGGGCTTTGGAAGTCACAGACGCCCACCCCTAGATGCTGTCTTGGGACTGGGGCCCAAAAGTGCTCACCCTGGTTCCTGCACCTGCCTGTCTGCGTGCTCCCCTTCCCATAAGGGGTTTTAGCTTGGGGCAGATGAACAGAGAGCCACACCCCTCTTGCACATACTGTGAGGGGGCCAGGGAACTCTCCTGTTCCACTTAGTAGTATCTTAGGCCTTCAGTGGAAGGAAACAGCATGTTCCACTCCCTGTAGCATCCAAGAAGCTGCAAGTCCTCCCTCCTCACCCCTAGAACATTTCTCACACCCACACCACACACCTCACTTTGCTGTTGGCTGTGGTTATTTTTTTCTCTAACTAAGCATATCTAAACCATCCCTAGTTGTGGTTCTTCAGTCAGGGTCAAGTGGTGTTAGCAATCACATCAGCAACAAATGGCTCAGGATGCTCTGGTTTCAAAGCTCAGAAAACAGAGGGTGATTCCCTCGGGACTCACTCAGCTCAGCTCTCCGAAGAGCAAAGGCTAGAAGGCAGCAGTGAGCCTGGGTCCTGGCTGTGTCGGGAGACTCAGGTGCTGGGAAGACGTGTGGAAACAGAAACGCTGAAGGTTTGTGTGAGCTTTGCACCGAGCACCTCTGAACCACTGCCTCTGGGCTCAACAGAACACGGGTACGTTTCCATGAACTTCTCAAAAAGAAGGCTGGGAAGCTTTCTGTCTTGATGATTTGAGGACCCACTGGTTTCAGAGGTGCCACATTTGGAACCAGATCCGAGTCTCTAAGGTTTGTGTTTTATTTGTTCGTGTCAAAATGTGGCTTCCTGCTTCTAAGAAAAGAAGCACAGAGAGGCTCATAAAAGCAGCCTCCAAGGGCTTCTTGGACCTCAGATTGCTCTTTCAAAACATGGTCTGATGAGTTCAGTGTAAATGCATCAGAGGCATGTGGGATCCATTTACCTTAAAATACACTTGGGCCTAAAAATTAAGAGAAAAACAGTACAGGGCAAAGTGTACACTGCAAAGTCAAACTCCAAACATTTGGGAAACAGTTGTAGGGGCTGCTGGAACCCCAAATGCTACTTGCTTCACCTACCTTGGGAATCATCAAATGTTATTTTTTGCACAAGATTGGGGATGAGTCTGCTCTCTGATCCCAGTGCTATGCTCTGCTGTGCAGTTCCAAAGGGGTGGCTGTTTCCTGGACCCTGAGATCTCCAGGCTCCCCGTGTCTCCTCCTTGTCAGCTTTGCCCTATCCAGGAGCTGGGCTGAGAGCTTGTCAAGTGACCCCTGCTTTGTACCACTCCATCAGGTCCTGAAGAATGAAAGGTACCAAGGTGGAAGGGGCACAGATTAAGAGCAGGGACACCTGCAAAAGCTCTCGTGTTACCACCTCATCTTCCAACTTTCATATGGGTGAAAACGTTAATTCAGTTGCTTCTAATTCTGAAGTTTTGTGATTCCTTGAAATGTACTTTGGGGATGACAGCCAGCATTTCCATTTCACTGCAATTTCAGAGTTTTGCAGTGGTTTGCCAATCATAACACTTTCTAATTGGCACAAAATCCACCTACCTGTTGCCTCTCAGCCTTGCGTAACATACTTAGACACTTTCTTAGGTAAATCTTGGCCCTTGGGGTGTTATTTGCCCAGATGGTAAAAACATTTAAGTAGGTCTGATTATTTCATTTTCAGTGGTTTCAACGCATTTTTGTGGCCTGGGTGTTTACCGTAATGTGCCTAAGTTGTTCATTCTGAGCCAACGGGTTCACCCACAGAGAGAAGACTTGATGAGGGAGCTCTTCTCCACTCCCCTCTTGCCAGATGAAATCCTGTTTGTAAAAGGTCTTTGTCTTGAGAGGATCACATACTTTGGTTGAGAATCCACTTTGGTTAAGGCGGTTGCTGGATTCAGAGACATGAACAGGATAGACAGTCCACCGATAACTTTATAATAACACCTTTAATAACTTTTTAATAACTTTAAATAACTTTTTAATAACTTTAAAAGTTAATTTAAAACTTTAATAACTTTTTAATAATACTTTTATCCAAGGATTTATGCAGCATACAAGACAAAACTGGAATATAATGTGGTACGTGCAGTAGCAGGGTCAACAAAACTTATTTTAGTTAGATTTTAAAAATTATTAAGATATCTATTTTATATAAGAAAAATTCTTAGGAACATTTATAGACATGTGTTTGAAATTTAGAATAAGTTGTTTCTGCTTAGAATTATTAAATACTTTGAAACACTAATAAATGCTAGATAAACTTTTTCTTTTTGATACAATTTGTGTTTACTTTAAATGCAATATTTTCTTATCTGAAAAAAAAAGTGAGCACTTAGCAAATCTCTTCATTATTTTGGAATTGGCCAATGCTCATAAACTACAAACAAATACACAGATTGTTCCTTGTGCTGATATTTTTGTTTTCAAATTTCTTAGTCCTGTTACTTAACAAATGACTGATATCTTTGTTGGAATCTCTGAACATAGCTAAAAGATGTGTTTTTTTGTTTGTTTTTTAATAACCAAGAGGCTCCAAGACAAAGGAGTGCACAGAGGCAAAATTTATTACTTTGGTAGCTTTTGCTGGCATGAAAGCCTCAAGTTAGAAAGTTTGACTTACTAATGGTTCTTAATAATGAGTCTTAGCCAGCAGCCATCAGAGAAATAAATCATTAAAGTGAAAAAATAGGTGTCAATACAGGAATGATCTACTGAATTGCCATTATTGGTGTTCTTTCAGAGGGGAACTGCATGTTGACAGGCAGTGACTTTTTCAGGAATTTGGAATATTCTTGAGCAATAATGTAAAGATGAAGGCAGGGGGGCCAGGCACAGGGGCTCATGCCTATAATCCCAGCACTCTGGGAGGCTGAAGTGGGCAGATTACTTGAGGCCAGGAGTTCGAGACCAGCCTGGCCGATATGGTGAAACCCGTCTCTACTAAAAGTATAAAATTAGGTGGGAGTGGTGGCACACACCTATAATCCCAGCTACTCAGAGACTGAGGCAGGAGAATTGCTTGAACCCAGGAGGCAGAGGTTGCAGTGAGCCGAGATTGCACCACTGCATTTCAGCCTGGGTGACAGAGTGAGACTCTGTCTCAAAAAAAAAAAAAAAAAAAAAAAGATGAAGGCAGGGTAAATTGTACACACATGCAAATACCAGTGTCATTATGATACCTACTTATTAGGATTTGAGAAATTAATTAATATTGATTTAAGGCCACAGAGTCATTGGATCACTTGATTCTGTTTAAAAGAAGTTTTCCTTTGGAGAGGATTGTTTTGGTTTCAACCTGTTCCTTTTTTCTAAGTCTTCCTTTCCAATCTTCTACTCAGAATGAATTTAACATTGCAAAACTGGCTTGTATCACAATAGCTACTATGCTTTAAAATAGGGTAGGTGCTTTGGGATCTTTGGAGTTTTAATGTATGAACCATTCATAATTTATCCCTCAAGCGAGTGTGGATTGTTTTATTTGTGAATGTTCTACATCCCCTCATCTGAAAACTTACCAAAAAAGGCATCACTGAGATAAAGCAGGGACCCCTTTTAGGGGCCTCCTTCCCCTACTCCCCAACAAGCATGGAAATAAAGCAAAATCTTGAGTTTCTGCAAGGGAAATTCCAGGCACCCAGCTAGCCCTGAGAAGTAAGGAGCAACTTGATAAGCAAGAAGGTAATAGTAGCTTAAAACAATAGTCAGGGAAGTTAGAGTTGTAGAAACTAAAGGTAACATCTTAACATATATCCCTGAGTTGTTTTTCAGAAACCCAGATCCCTACCAAATGGATCCCCTGGCATGCAGACCTCAGATAAGGGAGAACTGAGGACTGAATTCTGACCTCTGTTCTTTATTCTGGCTTTTTTTTTTTTGCCAGGGTCTGGCTTTGTTGCCCAGGTTAGAGTGTAGTGGCGTAATCACAGCTCACCGCAGCCTCGACCTCCTGTCCTGTGATCCTCCCATCTCAGCCTTTCAAGTAGCTGGGACTACAGCCACGTGCCACCATGTCTGGCTAATTGTTTACTTTTTTTTTTTTTTTTTGTAGAGATGGGGTCTGGGGTCTCGCTTTTTTGCCCAGGCTGATCTTGAGCTTCTGGCATCAAGTGATCCTTTCACCTTGGCCTCCCAAACTGCTAGGATTACAGCTGTGATCCACCATGCCTGGCCTCCATTCTTTGTTCTAAACTTTTTCCTGAAGGACCTGGAGGAAGTCACACCCACGGGCCAGACCCCACACTCTTTTCTGCCGAACTCAAGTCTTTTGACAAAGCTTCCCTTCTTTGCAAATAAAATCTTTGAATCCACCTAGGACCTTGTAAGCCCCCAACTCCAAGCTATCTCACCTTTTTAGGCCAAACCGGTATATAACCTCCATGTATCAATTTACAATTTTGCTTGTAACTTCGCTTTCCTGAAGTTTACCCTTGCCTTTAGAAACCCCTGCTTGTAAGCCACTGGGAAGATCAGGTCTTAGGCGTGAGCTGCTCAATTCTCCTTGCTTGGTGTCTCGTAAATCAATCCCCTTCCTTCTTCCACTAGAAAACCTTGATGTGAACGTTTGGCCTTACTGTGCTGGGCAAGCCGACTCCAGTTTGGTTTGGTAATATCATCGAAACCAAGCTATGATATTTGGAGATACCTTAGATCTTTATGGTGATGCTGTAACCTCGTAGTTTCATTTTGTCTTATTTTGTTTTGTTCTAGTTCCACTTTTAAAAAGATCTCATGGAGGTTTCTGCCCCAAGGCTGGCATTTCCACACAGCCAGTCTTTCTAAGCCAGTCTCTCCATACCAGTCTTTCTAAGAAGCAGCCCTATGGGCCAGTAACAGTTACATTTTTGTTGAGCAAAGGCATTATTAAAATCATCATCTACATCTCTCAGTAAAACCATAGTTAGTCAGGGAGATCTTTTCAACTCAGAAGTCATACAGAGAGGTAGACTCCTTTGCTTCTGGCCTTTTTTCTTTTCTTTTCTTTTTTTTTTTTTTTGGTCTGTTGGAACTTTGGAATGTGTTATCTTTTTAGGGATTTCAATGCGATTAAAAAAAAGAATCCGGGACATCATTTTTCACCATAAAAGCTGGGACTTTTCATCAGTAGGTGGTGAAGAGTTCCCAGGTGTACTCCAAGAAGTTTTGGAACAATAAGGCACACCAAAAAGAAGCAGGCTGCCTCATTTGGCGTGACTGCAGGGATGGGGCAGGCCGCAGGGAGGAGAGGAAGTGGCTCCTTCCAGCAAATGCTGAGCCAAGGCGCCCTGTGCTGCTCACACTTGATCTGCAGCGGCAGGAGGCTTCCATCCTGGGAAATCGCCTCAAGGCTGCTCTTAATCTTAATTTTCACCAGATTTCCCTCAGCTCCACTCCACTCCTTTGCCGGTTCAACAAAGACCAACAAACCTGTTGATGGCTGAGGTGAAAACTAAGAGGAGGTGGAGATGTGGCTGATTCTCTTTCTCTTTCTCTTCCTCCCCGGGTCAAACTCTGAATGCATGCTTTCCTTTTTTTTTTTTTTTTTTTTGAGACAGAGTCTTACTCTGTCACCCAGGCTGGAATGCAGTGGTGTGATCTCAGCTCAGTGCAACCTCCATCTCCTAGGTTTAAGCAATCCTAACACCTCAGCCTCCCAAGTAGGTGGGAACACAGGTGCCTGCCTGGCCGGTTTTTTTGTATTTTTGGTAAAGATGGGGTTTTGCCATGTTGCCCAGGCTGGTCTCAATCTCCTGAGCTCAAGTGATCTGTCCACCTCAGCCTCCCAAAGTGCT